CCCCCCCAACCCTCCCTGCAGACGAATGCCACGCTGGTTCTAACATGCAGGGCCTGCTGCAAATTACTGTCAAAGCCCGAAAATGGCTACGCTGGTTGCTCTGTAAACATTAGTTCGCTAAATCCCAGTGCTCTGAGGTAAAGGCGGTAAACGGGAAACACACACGCACCCCCACCGGCTTCTGGACAGAAACGCAAAGTATAAATATTTGATAAGTCTATTAAAATGGAGTAACGAGAAACTTGGAACAGCTACTCACTATATATAGCTATCAAAAAGGACATGTATCTTTCTTTAAATATTTAATCTTATCACATACATCTTCCCCACTTTACAACATGAATGTTAAGCATCACACTGACGCAAAACAGCTTCAACCACATACCAAGGGGAAAAGATGAGAAGCATTTCCTACAAGGCACACCTAAACACGTTGCAGAACTTGTCTCCTTTAAGAGGATTTGAACTCAAGCTGTCAACATCTATTTTCATTGGATTTCTCCCAGAAATCCACCATAGAGCTCAAGCAAGCATAGGGATATGATGTTTTATCTCCACTCTTCCCGTTAGCTACATTTGTTCATCCATGTTGTAACATTCCCAGCACACAGCAAGCATGCAATGAATTATTTAATCTCAAGAGCTTGACATTTTGACAAAGACCCCTGCACTTGGCACAGTTTTAGGTTAAGGTGCTTTCCTTCACATGAGTAAAGCTCACAGGAGGGGAGAGAGCTATAAAATAAATAGTTATGCTCAAAAGAGCCCCAAGCTTATCTTCGCAATTTTTTTTTTTTTCTTTTAGAAGACATAAGGGAAGACCCTTAATCCTGGAGCAAAGAAGTCTTCAAAGTGCTCCTGTAGTTATGCTGATTAAGGACATATTCAGACACGCTCTCACAACATGATTTGAGACGTGACTGCCTCCCACTTTCATTCCTATGAGTTACCACTCCCTCCACTGAGCCACTGTAATGGACTCCACGAATGCCTTCAGTTCGATTCAGTGCCAAGACAGACAGATTTCTCCTAAACCACCCTTCCAGTTGACACAGGCAGTAACTAACAGCTAAAGAGAGCTCAAATCATAAGTCCGAATATGCCTGCAAAAGCACATCTGAAGGTACCTGTAGTGGCTGTGTTTATTTTCTCCAGCTCTCCTCAAATGTTAAATAGCATTTTACTCACTACCTTTACCTTGTGCAGAAAATGTACCTATTTTGACAGCATGCATGCACAGTGTGTTTCATTTCATTCACAATGAGCAAACGAGCATCTGCTGGTTTATTCTTCCATCTAAGGACTTGGCGGGTGGTAAGCTCTAGACGTTCAAGTCCACAGGTCACCAGCCTCACTACACAGTAGACTGGGTTCACTCCTCCCCAGGTGCTCTGCTGTGTGACGACGAGGCTGGGCTAAGCCCACCAATGGGTCCTGGTGGGACCGGGCCAAGTCAACCCCAGCTCTCCCTGCAAGGAGCAAGTGGACCCAAGAGGCGTGGACCAAAGTTACCCACCCACCCCAATGTACCAGCCCCAGTGCAACTCCACAACTCATCAGGTACCACAGCCCCTGCACAAAGAGGTCTGTGCACCTCCTAACATCAGCTAGATCTACCCATGGAAGCAGCAAAATTCAACTGGACCCTAAGTGGAGGCAGATGCCTGCAATGGAAACATTATGGTCTTGAGGTACAACTTTATGGCAGACTTTGCAAACTTCACTAAGGACAGCCATAAAGTACTCAAGAGAGGTCAAAAATCAAAAAGAGAAGAATTTAATTTTTTTTGATACAGAGAATTCTTATTCGGGAAGGTTAAATTTAGGAAGACTGCTCCTGAACAGAGATGCGACAATGCAGAAGGGAGAGCCTGTGCTGAATCTTTCCACATAAAAGGATGTGTTAAAATACAATGAGCTGACTTGGGTTTGTATCCTTCTCAGAAGGCATGCCCTCCTCCCCCAGTAAAACAAGGTTCTTAATGTTACCTACAAACACCACCGAAGCAGAAGAAGGTCCTGTAAACAACTTGTCAGAGCTTGACTACAGCTTCACCAGTCACCACAAAGGCTTTACAAACCTAAGCAATTTCTTGTAAAAGAGGGAGTTAAACCAGGACGTGACGGTCTGGCACAGTAGATTTCATGAAGGAGCCAGCAGTGCCCGAGAAGGCAGCCCTATTTCATAGCAGCTGCAGTTTCCAACCAAAGACACTTCTATAATCCAAACTGGAAGTTTTTCAGCATTAATTGTCAGGATAACACCAGAAAACTGGTTTTCAGGCCAAGATGAGTATATTACATATACACCAACAAAATGACATCTAGGTAAAGGATACCCTAAGCTTCCAGAGACAGGGAATGGTGACATTGAGCATAATCACAAACGTGTGCCTTAGTGAGTAGATGTTTTTTTTCAATAAATGAGTGCACTAGCTGAAGTCGTACATGTTTTATAGACCAGCGTACTCTATCTTGCTCACATAAACATCAGAGTAAACTAGCTCTTAGCAAGCAGTGGAAAAACAGTGCTTTACCAATGTCTAACAGAAAAGAGACCTGTTTCGATAGCAGTTTACACAATGAATTTCTGAGTCCAGAGCTGTACAAGTTTATCATCTTTATAGGAACAGCACTTTGATTAAATTGCCTCAATAACTTCTTGAGCTGGTCTTGATTGCATACGCACAACCAACAGCAAAGGGGACACGGATAGCCCAAAGGCAACAAAGATGACCCATCAGAAAGCTGATGAAATCTTGGTTTAAGACTCCCAGGCATTTTATCAAGTATTGCATCTGTAGTGTGATTTTACCATATGTTAGCTGAGGCAGTTTTATTGCTCATCCATCCCTGCAGTTCAGAGTAAACCTCATTGCATCTATGTTTACCTTGATCTACCAACACATTCGTTCTACTTTGCTTCATCTTCTCTACTTTTACCAGGTGCTAAGAAATTGTTTTCCTTATTACATACTTAACTACTATGAATGCAACACCAGGGAGGATTCCAAGCTACTCCAGGATTATCATTATTCAACTAGAGAACCACAAATTAATTAAAAGTGATGTCGCTGACGGTACTGGCCTTCATTCATTAAGCACATGCTCAGCCTATGAGATGTATTGCAAGGAAATACAGCAGTCAATCCCTAACTGAACCAAAATAACCCAACAGATTAAAGAAAGCGGGGGAGGAAAGGGAGAATTTACAAGCAGTACACAAGATCAAGAAAATCCTCCATGTATATATTAGGACCCAAGCAAAAGTAAGTTTAACAATTCACTTTAACACCAGAGCAGCCTTGCCACATTCTTTCTAATAACCTTTGCTCAAGAGGAGTTGGTTAAAAACAGATGGGCTAGCAGGACCCAGATCTCACTTGGAAAGAAGGGAAGAAAGCAATACCTCATTCTGACACATTAAGGAAATGTACTGTAGATAATACCCTTTAACCTTGCGTTTAAGAAAAAAATATGCTGAAAACAGCACATTTCTCAACACTTGGAAGGGACAGGACAAATCAAAACAAGAAAAGTAATTGTAAGAACCAAAGCTGATGTCAGACTTCACAACCATCTGTCTGCAAAACACAGAAA